GCAGTATAAACCACAGGTTGGGCTCTGTGGATGTTGAACAAACACAAATGTGCCTGAGCGAGAATTCTGCAATTATATTTATTGGCTAGCTTAATTTAATAGACGGGTATCCTCAAATACATATATATATATAGCTATATATATATATATATATATATATATATATATATATATATATATATATTATACTTTATTTTATGTTTATATATATTTTATTTTTATAGATATAAATATTTAAGTAAAAATGCACTGTTTTTAATAAATTAGTATTTTTTTAAAAATACCATTTGAATGTCCAAATATATTGCCATATATATATATATATATGAGATTTATATATATATATATATATCTTTATAATATTATATATATTATTTTATATATATATTATATATGAATATATATTAATATATATAGGATATATATATATTTATATTTTTAATATATATTATATTATTTATATATATATATATATATATATATATATATATATATATATATATATATATATATATATATATATATATATATATATATATATATATATATATATATATATATATTATGAAATGGACAAAGTCCGACAATTATTTTAAGACATAATACATTCTTTTTTTATATATTTTTATTTTTACAGATACAAATATTTAAGTAAATTAACGACATTTACAGTCCGTCTGAAATTATTATGCAAATGACATAAACCTCATTAACTCAAACTTGCTTTGAAAAATTTTTGTCAAATTTAAAATAGGCGTTTCAAATGTGCCTGAACAATCGTCTGCAATAGGGATTAGCTAGCCGCCCTAGTAGATGGGTATCCTTGAATACGAGTGGCCAGCTATACATACATATACAATCTTTCCTGAAATAGATACAGAATCAATGTTCCTTTTGCTTTAGAATAACGAGAGTGAAACAAAAAATGTGATTCATTTGACATTCGAAGTATGTCTTCTTAACCAATCGAATATTTCGTTGCAAAGATAGGAAACATGTTAAACCATTGACTTTCAAAAAGCAATATTTTGACACTTTGCGCACATCCTTTGAGGACTGCGAGAAGGTAAGTGTTATCATTCCAGCAACAAATAGCGTCCAAGATTTATGAAGCGCGAACCAGCCACCAATATTCGAGCTCAGTCTAATTTTTCAGGAGTTAAAACTATCTAGTGCTACTAAAATGTTCGGATAATTTGAACAGCACGGGCGAACAGAGTGTGGTAGAGATTTCTGCTTTTTTTAACAGCAATCTCTGAGACATTATCGATTATTACATGCCTCTGCTCTTCTCGTGTTTTTTTCTTGTATCTTAAGTCACGTGTTTAACTGCTTGGTGGCTGAAATAGTTCAGTATTTCACACCCTTGGTAATGATCGCTATTCGAGTCCAAATGCAAGCCAGGATGTCAAATGTTGATTTTCAAGGCAGGCTGGAAGTTCTAAGACATCTTTTCATTTTCTTTATTCAAGAAAATTATACCTTGCACCTGGTGTATATTTAATTGAAAATCAGATTAGATTTGTTGCGTGAGTAAATTGTTACCTTTTTATTTACTCTTTGTAAGTATTTTGTAAATAAACTCAACTCTTTAGAAAGTCCAAAAGCGGATACAAGTTTTATGAGTTGTTGAAAAAAATCATCAGTGACGATGTATATTTGACAAAATCTGTAATAAAGATCGGTATATATATATTAATTTCTATCGAAAGGTAAACACATTATTTTCTGTTTATTTTCATCTCTTGCACGTGACAAGCGGACGCAGCCCGACCGGTCGGCACGTCATAGTGAAATAAGCTCAACACAACATCGCCACCCCACAAATAAATGTCTCGTTGTAATCAAAGCAAGTGCAATTACACTACTACAGTTAATATCGAATAATTAAGTTTCTTCTCGCGCGCACACGCGTGTGTGTATGTGGCCATTACAGTTGTGTGGCGATGTAAAATTTTCTTTTAAAAAAAAAGTAAAAGTGAAGATTCAGCGTCTGTGGTGTACGATGGCTTCAAGTTGTTATGGACGACTTACAATTCTTTTTATTTTCTCATCCTTTATTGTTAGTTAAGGCCTTCCAAAAATAGAGCAGCAAAATAAAATCTGACTACATGAATGGACTGGAGTTATTAGTTATGGATACTTCAGTACGGACCGTGTCATTCTTGTGACCGCCTTGTCTAACTGATTTGACCGGACGAATCGACGCCATGTAAAACCGTTGAATCAACAAACATTACAAACAAGTAATAATTTACGCTAGACAGAAAGCCAACATAAAGCTATGACTAAATTTGGCAGAAGGGTGAGTCTTTTCAAATATATTAATTACCATTATTTTGCATACATGAATAACAATCTTATTTTTTACAATCGAAAGTGAAAACGTGTTCATACGTTTGTTTTCCTTAACGGCTTTAAAACTGTTTAAAGGCAACTTTTAATATGAAGGAAATCATCGAATTCATTTTATAAAATTTCAGTTGAACTTCATTATTTTCTTCGCAATATATAATTCTCAAAAATAATTTTCAATACTTTTTTTTTTTTAATCTGTGAATGCTTGGGTAATGTTTAATGTTTCATTCTTCTAAAATATGTTATGAGCCCAACATTTAAAAATTAATAATATCCTACCTCCATAAAGGTTCATTTTTTCGAAATGAAAATTTACTTTAAGGATATCATCTCTCTGTCTCTGTCTGTCTGTCTGTCTCTCTCTCTCTCTGTCTCTCTCTCTCGTTTATGTGACAAAGTATTTGGATTTGAAATACAAACTCGGTACAGAAATAGGGTTTCTAAGCTATTCAAATATCGGACTTTGTGAATTCGTCACTCATCACAAATTTTCAACATTCATTACATTTACAAAGTCGGATATGTATTCAAAGTTTAACAAGAAAATATCCTTAATTTTAGAAGCACATTTTGATCCATCAATACTGTAAATTTCTTCTTGAATCAAAGAATTCACTCTGATCTATTCACTTTATGTCCCGTTGATGCAAAATCATGACTAGAAAAAAAGTTATAATAAGCTAAAATATTTTTACAATATCTTAAACAAATATTTCCAAATTCTTAAACATATTTGACTAAATGTCACTTGTATGGATTTTTTTTAGATTTGCCTTGCTCATAAAATTCATGGTCAGGAATATCATTAGCCTACATCCACGTAAATTCTTCGGACTAGTGTCTTGTTTTAATTATTTTATTCAGTGATCTTCCTAATAGTGTCTGGAGATCCGCGAAAGTAGCCCTAAACTTGAATCTCTCATTTTGATCTTTACTTTCTCGCGCACACACGCAAAAATAATTCAAAGCTATAATAATATCATAGAATTTGATATACAGCAATTCATTTTGGCAGACACTGAATTGTTGTATATTACTTTTGGTCAGATATCAGCTATTAAAATAGCTACTGCATTCATGATTCCATAAAATTCAAATTGCCATCAGCGATGCCATAGTTTGATTTTGAGATTACGTGGTACATTAAAAGTAATTATTTTTTTTAAATATTTGTATCCCAATTTAATAGACTGATTCAGGATGAATTTACATAAAACAATGATTCAAATTACATTATTTTTTATTAAGATGGCTAAAAATATCAATAATAAACTATTATTGAGAGATCTTTTGAAAAATAAGCTATCCCGCAATCCCCTATATATATATATATATATATATATATATATATATATATATATAAAAGAAAGAACAGTAAAATATATAATCCGGTGTTCTTATAGATATTTTTATTTTTACAAAATAAATGCTTAATGTAAATTTACAGAGCATAAATATTATAAATTAATTGATTTAAAATATGGTTTTTCCGCTACACAGTTCTAACCATGTTTTAAAAATTAAAATTACTGGGTTTTAAAGATTTTTATGATTTTAGCTGTGTTTTTAAAACCCAGTAATTTTAAAAGTTACTCCAAAATTCGCTTGAGGATGAAATGGAACTAATGTCTTTAATTTAATTACAAAATTAATTTCGGACCTTCCATTTTTGAAACATGGTTAGAACTGGGTAGCGGAAAAACCATATTTTAAATCAATTAATTTATAATATATATATATATATATATATATATATTCGTTGAACATATCAACTAGTTATTTGTATCGCCATCTACAAAAAATGTAAATAATTTAGAATGGAGGTACAGTATATTGGCAGTTGGCTGAGATTATTAGAGGTGCGAAACATAGGTAATATTTATACGCGACGCATAAAGAGAATCAGAAGATACATTTGTACTCTTTTCACAACAAAACGATAACAATTGATAAAAAAGACAACAAAACTTGTTATTGCTTTTCACTTTTTTGTCTCTCTCTCTCTCTCTCTCTCTCTCTCAAAAAAGAAAAAAAACAGATTTTTAAGATTGAAATTAAATGACACTACTACTCCAACCCACTACAGGAAGTATTCAGCTTACATTAAACCGACTTACGACGAAGTGGTCGGAATAGAATCCCATTTTATCTCGAGAACTACCTGTGGTCAGAAGGGTTACATAATATATTAGAAAAAAGGAGAAGGCAATAAAATACATTGAATTGAATCATTAAAAGATTGTAAATTAAAATTAAAATTATTTCCTTTATTTTCTTTCAACTTTCACATGCTTAAGAACAGCGAGTATTGGACAATAACAAATTGGTCTCCGGGCTTACTCACCATCGCATTGTGGGGTATTAATCTCTGAAATTTCATTATTTAATTATAACAAATTAGGCAAAGTTCTCCACACCGGAATTTTTTTTTTTTGTTAATGTGGGAAATAAATATTTGTATTATTTATTTCCTCAATGAAATAATATCTCTATCTCAATCAATTATACATCATTATTTGAAATCACTTGTTGCCACTTATCGGGCAGTTCTTTGCACACATATGGCCGCCAAACGTAACTCCCTACCTCGAGTGGCTCGTGGGCCTTGTACAGTGTGAACCACGCTGTGAAAAAAATCTATTATGTCTAACTGTTCATTATCTATCTATCTATCTATCTATCTATCTATCTATCTATCTCAACCAGTTTCTATCTATCTATCTATCTATCTATCTATCTATCTATCTATCTATCTATTATTCTCAGTCTACTATTTATCTAGTGTACTCCATTTAACTGCCACTTATGATTAGTAGTTAGGATGTCATTTAGATTTGTCATTACAATTGATTTCCAAAAATGGAAATTACTTATGATGCAATCTTTATGCATATATATATATATATATATATATATATATATAAAGTGGGGGTGAAACAAATATTCGTACACATACAAATATTTCATTTATTGTATTTCCAACTAATAAATATACTTTTCATATAATTAACTGTACATAGATGCATAATAACTAACTATGCATAGAAAACAGAAAAAAAAATTGATTTAACAGAAATAAATCCCATTTCCATTTTAACGGGTGAAAAAAGTATTCGTACAATGCAAATTCCAAATTTTAAGACTTTTAATTTGCTTTAATTCTCTAGATTATTCAAGTGGAATACTCTAGAATGTTCTAATAATGTTATCAGTAGTTATTTTTAGCCTAAAAATACAAACAGAACATTTTGTAATTGATATTCGTGCAAGTTATCATGGCAAGAGGTTGTAGAGGACCGTGTGTGTATTTACGTGTTGTTGTATTAGAAACACGTGTACAACTCCTGGTAGAATATTAAAAGGTCCAACACGTGTGCAACTCCTGGTAGAATATTAAAAGGCCCAACACGTGCAACTCCTGGCAGAATATTAAAAGGCCCAACAAAGTGTGCAACTCCTGGTAGAATATTAAAGGCCCAACAATCCTGGTAGAATATTGTGGCCAACATGTGCAACTCCTGGTAGAATATTAAAGGCCCAAATACAGTGCAAATCCTGGTAGAATGATTAAGAGGCCCAACACGTGTACAAATCCTGGTAGAATATATAAAAGGCCCAACACAGTGCAACATTCCTGTCCGAATATTAAAAGGTCAAAACGTGTGCAACTCTTCCCGAGAATATTAAAAGGAAATTGTCATATCCTGGTAGAATATTAAAACAGTGAAACACGAAACTGCAACTCCTGGCAGAATATTAAGAATTCCCAACACGTGCAACTCCTGGTAGAATAAAAGGTCCAACATGTTTTTTTCCTGGTAAAAAATTAACACCCTCCAACACGTGCAACTCATGTTTTATTAAATATTTTATTTTATGGAACCTGGTATAATATTAAAAGGCCCAACATTAAATAACTGAAAATTATCACAGAATATTAAAAGGCCCAACACGTGTTTTACTCCTGGTAGAATATTAAAAGGAAAACACGTGTACAACTCCTTTGTAGAATATTAAAAGGCCCAACACGTGTGCAACTCCTGGTAGAATATTAAAAGGCCCAACACGTGTGCAACTCCTGGTAGAATATTAAAAGGTCCAACACGTGTGCAACTCCTGGTAGAATATTAAGAGGCCCAACACGTGTGCAACTCCTGGTAGAATATTAAAAGGCCCAACTACAAGAAAATTGCCGGACTCAAGTCCAACTGAAGATAAACAAGACAAACAAATAAGACCGATATATATATATATACTAGCAGTAGAGCCCGGCGTTGCCCGGGGATGTAACAGTAAGAGATAGATCAAGTATCGACCATCATAAAGACTGAAAAATAAAATTGACAAAGATTATTGTTTAAGGTTGACGGACACGCATGTCTTAATTATTATTTTTTTTTTTTTTTTTTTTTGAATTGGTCAAACTCAAACAAAAAACATTGTTTTCAATCGTTATGAGTCTATCGATTGAATAGTATTTTATTATAAACAATTGTCTTGTAAATGGAATTTTTAAAGCATTCTGAATGTAAAAATAAAGAAAAAAGTGTGCAAGACAATAAGAAACACTACATGCCCCCCCAAAAAGTGAAGTTTTGTTGAAATCGGTTGAAAAATGTAGGAAATCCGATCCCATATATAAACGAACACACACACAGACACAAACAACCAACCTGGGTTTTATAATAAGTATCACTCGATATTAATAAGTATAACTTGATATGAGTTGTCCCCCTTTTATTAATGCCTCTTAATTGTGTTTTCAAATTGATTTCGTGCAAAAACAATTGTGTTTTTCCAATTTTTGGCGCTGTCAGAACCACCGCAAGGTAATTTTACATAGTCCTGTGAAGTTTTGTTGAAATCGGTTGAAAAATGTAGGAAATCCGATCCAATATATAAACGTACACACACACACACACACACACACACAATCTGCGTTTTATAATAAGTAAGATAAACAAATATATGTATTAAAAAAAACAATTTTACAATGGACAATAACATTTGTGTGTGTGTGTGTGTGTGTGTAACATTGGTGTTTGTTCTTCGGTGACTGTTCGTACGTACGTGTATGTTTGTAATGTTCATAGCGTCTTCCCAGAAGTGGAAAACGCTGTTTTTGCGAGACCTCACATTGTAGCGGTGTTCGCTGAAATGAAGAAATGAAAAAGAGGATTTACCTCACCTCCACGCTAGGTGGGATGAAGCAAGAGGTCGCCCAGTATTTATGTACAGAGAGAATGGCCCCTAGTGACACTTTGGGAATTAAAGAGGAGGTAACTCCGACAAGGTGAAGAATTCGCAAAAAAAAAACTGACTGTTAAGCTCTGGAAAGAAGGTAAAAGTCACAGGAAAATCTCAGACAACTTGAATATTCCATTTACTACCTTAGTTCATTTATTGCAAGGCATAAAAAAATTGAAAACCAAAGAAAAACAGTTGCTCTACGGAAGATTTCTTCAAGATCTTCAAGGAAATTAATGCATCAAATTAAACATAATCCAATGGTTACTCGTCAAGAATTGCAGGGTGATTTGATCAGGAATCTGTGTCACTAAAGCAATGAAATTCATATGAACCATCTAGTCACGCTCCCCTCGGAAAATTCCACTGCTATTGAAAAGACATAAAGTAAACATTAATTACTAACTATTTTGAAAGAGAGTAGAAGCAAGATACATTGAGAATTTAGTTTTGAAAAGCGATTATATTTAAATTTCAAATTATATCTGTATTTGAAAAGACAAAAAAAATTTAAAATAAAAATTAGGAAAACAATAGTCATGACCTGAATATTTGTTTTATGAAATTTTTGTTCTATAATTTATTTTATTTAAAATAATTTTTTTTTAAAAAAAATAAGGGATGCTATATAGTTTTTTCACTTAATAAAACTTATTTAGTGTGGTATTTTCCTAAAACCCCCCATTTTGTAACAAAAAAAAAAATAAAGAAGTTTATTTTTTAAAGGTTGAATAAAAAATTATTTTCATAAGAAGGTCGAAAAATATTAAATAAATCAATAATACAAACAATTATTCAAATGCACTTCAGAGTAATGCCATGTATCCCTCCTTATATATATTTTGTAGTGTTACACAACCACATTCTGCTTTTAATAACTTTTTTATTTTCGAAAAAAAAAAAATTAAAAAAAAAAAAAATATTTTTGTTAATAATTGTTTTATCAATAAAAACCTCTTAGACTTCCTTTTAAATTTTTTTTCAGAGTTTTAAATTTAATTTTTTTATTTATGTTAACACTTTTCATTGCTATAGATGTTGTTTATATAAATTCAAGAAAATAATAAATTTTTAAATACATTCTAATTCTTTTGAAAAATCAAAACGAACGATGAATCAAATCTGGAATAAGAATGATTACCCTTTTCTATTTTTATAGCTTTTTTCTATCCATATGCAAGTTTCCCCAAAATTTTAATTATCTTTTTGAAAATACAAATCAGATTATTTTAATTTTCTTTATAAAAATTTTCTTAATAATTTGTTCTCAATTACATATTTCATCCTGTCATGACTACATGTAGTTTTTTAAAAAAAAAACAAAATTATTACACAGAAGAGGATACACACAGAATACGAAACTGTCCTTTATATATATATCTAAAGATTGAAATATTTTAGCTAATAATATGCCAAATAATAAAAAATGATATCCCAAATCTTGGCTTATTTTCTATCTTAAAGCGACTTTTCAATTAAATGAGACGTGACTCAAACCCAATAGATTCCCCTGTGGAATATTTAAACAAATTAACCGTAAATAATTGCTGATGGTTTTGTATAATCATTTGTGAATTTGTTATTGTTAAGAACTGTTTTTACATTTAAATAAGTAGTTGCCAAGCAAAGCTGAAGATTCTAAGTAATGTGGTTAATTTAAATTCATATGTGAGATACTTGGATGGTTTATGTTTTTCATTGTTCTTTTGAAAAAAATGATGATGTAAGATGGCCAAACAAAGAACTTGAAAATAATTATTCAAAATTGACCAGTGTTTTTTTTTTTATTTATTTTTTTTATTTATGTACAACTAAAACGTTTGCTTTTAGATTTAATGTTATGGACAGAGTTGTCTAAACATTTTCTTAGATCTAATTCTGATATTGTCATACCTCATTTTGCTGTTAGGACAAAAATCAATAGACTTCACAAATGTTTTTTATCTTTAATGGTTTTGGTGTGGAAAATAAAATTTGAGCCACTTCAATTCCATCCAAGACTGTTTTAACTCGACTTCACTCATTAGTGAAGCTAATTTTACCTGACCCCTCCAATATAATTTCAATACTTTTTCTTTTCTCCAATATCCATTACACATCACCTTCCTGAATTATATATAAATAAAGAAATGTTTATAGAAAATCATTTGGCCTAAACGCCTGGAGAATACTGTATTGAGATTCAAGAAATTGGAAAAATGTCATCACTTGATAAGAATAATTCTTTATATATATATATATATATATATATATATATATATATATATATATATATATATATGTTACAAAGAGAGATTGCTGCCCAAAATACAATTATATATTTTTATAAAATGAAAAAAAAAAAGACATTTACTTATTCAAACAAAATTTTCAGAATAACATAATTTTTTTTTTTTTACTGAATAGATTTTTTTTTTTTTTTTATTAAAAAAATTTCTTTGAAATATTTGTTAAACAGTATCAGCCTCCTTCTGATATTGGTAACTTTTCATTATTTTGAATTTTTGCCGTTCAAAAG